GATATTTCACAAAGAGCCGTACTTCATCCATGAATTGCAGAAAACCGTAGCAATCATTTTTGGGCTCTTGCTGAACGAGAATCATAAAATATAGAAGATTTCCATGATCGTCAATTGTCTGATGAAAACTTGCGGTTGTGACAATCGTTTCACCGGGCATCAAAAAGACATGCCGATTAAAGATTGGTTCAAGAGGATCTGAGACAGAGACACCCTTTTCCCGTTGATTTCTCATAAACTCTAAGATCCGATTGAAATCTTCGTTTGCCAAAAGATTAGCCGCTTCCAAAACAACAACAAAGTTAGGGTTCGTTTTTGGAAAACGGTTTGAAATAATTTCTTGCAGTGTTTCTTTTAAAGTCTCCATTGGAAGGGAAAACTTCAAATGATTAAGTGCAGCCAATTCTAGAAATGATTTAATTGGGAGAGGTTGACGATTTAGTGTGACTGTCAATCGAGGACAAGTATTAAATGTTGTCTGAATAAAATGAGTCTTGAATTCAGTTGAAGACTCTCGAGACTCGGTTATGCAGATTCGGCCCCGTTCGATCACTCGAAAAGAGGTGTGCTCAAGGAATTTCTGATATGTCGAGAGATCGGGCACGCCCATCCACAAAATGGCCACAGTTTTCAGATTTGAAAAACACTCTGCCAGCTTCTTCATCTCAATCAGATCTATTACTTGGGTTTTCGTTTTTCGAATTGATGCAAACTTTAGATCTTTGCAATATGTGACTTTTGCAAACAAAGCTTGAGGTGGTAGCTGATGAAAAATATATTTTAATTCAAAATCTTTCACTTTCATCTCAATTTCCAACGGTTTTGCGTGAACATCATGGTTTGGATCAAGTCGAAAAGTCAATTCTAAATAATCCAATTGTTTTTCGAAAGGCCCATTGACCAAAGAATATCTTCGAAGCACTTTGTTTACTTTTGTCAATTTCAATTTCGTTTCCGGATCAACTTTCTCCAGAATTGCCAGGTTCAATTGGGCTGGAAAGCGGAGAAATGAGAGCTTTTTCGGAGGCTCTGGTGAAATGGTGGTCATTGTTGAAAGAAATTATAGAAATATCGATGAAGAAATGAATTTTAAAAAAGTGTGTTGAAAGAAAATGGAATAATTGATAAGATTTTGATTGAGACACACAGTTTAAGACGGATTTCAAATCAACCGCCAGCCGTGGGTAGAAAAGTACGGTTGAAAGAGCGGGTTTTGCAAGAGTTGATAAGCAATTTGATAAGCAATAAGGGGATTTGATGGGATGATGAAATAGTCATAGGAAGGCCATGGTTGGCAATGAAGTGCAAAATGTTTGTTGAACTGTTCATCACTGTTTGTCAATCACTTGTTTAATGTTAAGTGTTCAAATCTGAAAGTTACGTAAATCCTAAAATGAAGCTCATTTAGATCGTGTTTTTTTGTCTATGTTTATGGGATAGGTTTATTTTAACACGTACACAAGAGCAGAATCAGTACGTAGCACAAACATGTACACAAACTCATAACAATATTGCATAGTTAACATTAGAACATAATAATTCAGAACAACAGTTGAAAGTATTGTAAACAGCCAAAGAATTAAAAGTAACTGTAAAATTTTACTTGCTAAGGCCACAATAAGTTGAACCTATAAAATTTACGGTAAATTGTGAATAACTACTATACAATTGGTAGAATACAGTTGGTTTAAAAATCACGAACTATTACTCTTGAGCTTCCTCATACTTCACAAAGACTTGAACTTCATCCATGAATTGTTGAAAACTGTATCGGTCCATTTCGGCCCCTTGTTGAATGAGAGCCAAAAAGAAGAGAACATTCCATTGTAAATCTTTCATTCATTGTAAATCTTCTGCCGAAAACTGTAAGCACAATTGTTTCACCAGTGACCACGTTGATGTCTCGATTGAAAATTGGTTCATGGGGTTCTGAAACACTGGCTCCCCATTCCCCTTGTTTGCCCAGAAATTCTGAAATCCGATCGAAATTTCGTTCTATTTTCGGATTGTCAATGATCGAATCCCCAACCTTTATTTCAATTTCTAGAGGCTTTGCGAGAACCTCGTGGTTTGAAAGAAGTCGAAAAGTTAGCTCCAAATAATGCAATCATTTCCTGAAAGGTTCATTGATTAGAGGATAGTCTCGAAGGGATTGGTTTACTTTCGTAAAGGTTAATTTTTTTCCAGGATCAACTTTTCCAGAATTTCCAATTGTAATCCGATTGGAAACCGTGAAAATAAGAGTTTCTGTAGAGTTTCTGAGAGATCGGTGGCCATTTTTGTGATCAATCAAAAAAAATGATAGGAACAGTTTAAATAAGTCAAGCTTTGATGAAAAAGTGACAAGAAGCAAAAGTAAAAGTTTCTAAAACATGGGCAATTTGGAAGGCTACCATAATTTTTCTTCAGATTTCCATGTCTGCTCTAATCAATTTGGATCCCATTCAATTAGCAGGTTTATTTCTCATCGAGTGAGATCATAAAAACTCCATGCCTTAAACATCTTATTCCCCTAACTTTATTTGATTTCCACTTGATCCTTCCTCATGGGTAAAACAAAGGGCTAAGATCGTTATGTATTGTATTTTACTTATATGATTTCAAATGCCGGTCAAACGCATACTTTTTACCATGGAAAGAAATTCTTTTTTAACCGCTTCTTAAGGTGAATTCTCATGGTTCTTGGCTCAAAGTCAGACAAATTCTCAAGCCCACATCTTTGAAAGGCTTCATGGTTTCTGTTTCCAGATTCCATCTCAAAACATCTTTCAGTTTTTTACAATGAGTCAGCAATTCAATCAAAAACCCTTATCACAAAGTTCACCATAGATTTTCCCGTCTCCGATTGCTTTCACTTTGAAAATATTGTGCAACAATCCTTTCCCAATCCCATCTACCGTAGCCGTTCTTTTCTGCAGTCTCACCAACTGCATATGACCACCCCTCAGCTATTCAAAATCCATCTTTTCACTGCCTTAGCCTTACCTAAATTCTGTCTTTCCCTACCTCAATGGATCCTAATCACTTAACATTTCCATCACTACCTCAGAATCTGAAAAATTCGATTATCAATCAAATCGATGTCACCGATGCTCTCAATTTACTTCAAGTTAATCAAGAACTTCGAAAGAAAATTCTCTTGAAAGGACCTTTTCCAAAAAATGTTGAAGAAATTCGGCTAAATCCTCAGTATGAGAAAGAATTTCATCTCTATGATGAAGAAGAACGAAATCTACCCTTTCCGAGATTCAAATTGGGAATTAGCACACGGGAATCCCACAGTTTTGTTTATGACTTTAAAATTCTTCATATCAAGAATCACAAAAAACTTCACATCTCCGGGAAAACGATTTGGTTGTTGGTGAAAAGGTTTGAAAACGTGAAATCAATGAAGATCACGTTGATTCGAAAGATTCCGGATGATTGCAAAAATCGAGAATGGCTGCTAGGAGAATATAGAAAACTTTTGAAATTTCTACCAAGACCGCATTTTTTGGAGAGATTCGAGATTTCCTACAACTTTCAACTGACTAAGCTCGTCTTTGAGAATTTTGAGTCAAAAATTCTTGAGCTTTGTCATTTTCGTGTATTCATCGATAATGAAGATCGGCGAGAAGCTTACGGATATTTCATGGATTTTATGGGAAACGAAAAATTCGTCGACTGTAAAATATTGAAACTGAATCGACAAAGAGAGCCGAGTTGGGAAGCGCTGACAAAAACGAATGTTGAATTGCTGCTGTATGTGACAGACTTCGATCGTTTAGCTGAATATCTTCAAGTTTTATTTGACCAAGGAATTCCTAGCAAATTTCCGAATCGAGCTGCTGGTTTATTTGCAGAAAAGTTGAAATCAAAAGAATCAAAGAAAGTTTTCGATCAGTTTTTGAGAAAATTCCTCTCGTCGACACCTGGGCTAAAGAGAATGGGAGAATTTTCCAATAAAGCAAAGAATTTATTGGAGAACTTTCAAAGGTGGAATAAAAACTTGATTGATCTTGGTTTTCACAATATTTCTTCTGTTGCTGATGGAGAATTTCTAGAAAATCACTTTTATCGGCAGAGAATCGATGAGGGAAAAGAATTGCACTGTGTTGTTTCCTATTTTGAATCAGTTATTGATAGTTCTTTTTATACGCAAGTTTTGTTAAAGTATGTTGATGAATAAAAGTTGTTGAAATGTTATTTGATTGAAAAAAAGAAATTGCATAAAATGAATGTGATTTTAAAATTGTTGAGTACAGATAAAAATGGATCAAATCACTTGCCTTTACAAATTACAACGCACTTACACTACCGTAGCTCAATGGTTACAGTAATCCAAGAGCAGTTGGTGCCGTAGCTTCAAAGAATAACACGCTAGGAAGCACGAAATTCTATAAAAGATCAGATCTATGGTAAGATTAGGGCCAGAAGCTCTATAAATTGCTTTAAATCTTGAAGATCACATAAGTTTAAACAGTTATAACCTACCTATTCGCTAGTCCTTCAGTATTCAAAAACAAGGAAAACTATTGATTGACAGCTTGCCTTTGCAATGCTCACTATTCCAAAACACACTCAAATCAAGATTTCAGGTTTGTTTTCGATCTTTTTTACGATCAAATAACGCTAACGGCTAACGAGAACATAGTGCTTTTTCGGTTCCTTTTCGAAAAATGTTGACCCTTGTTCATTTCAAAATAAAATCTGAATGCTTTTTGCTTAACTTCTTACGCAAACAGTGCCTTTTCAATTTCACTTGCAGACTTTTAAGGAACTCAAAGCGTTGATCCATATCGCAAGGATGACCCGGGAAATCATGAGAGAAAAAGGGAAATCTGCGGCTTTTTGAGATTCAAATCTATTGAGAGCGCGAAAATTTCTTAGGTAGATTTTTTAAATTCAATTGCATAGAAAAACTTAAATTTTGAAGTTTACCAAAAAAAGCTGACTAATTTTTGTCCTTCAACTGTTTTATTTGATCTTAAAATTTTTCGATCTAAAAAGCTTCACTTTAGATGCGTTATTTGTATCTTTTAATCCTCTTCACAGCTGTTTTAATGATGTTGACGACGATGGTGAGAAGATGGGAAACAGAGGCAAGAATGAAAAGGAAAGAAATTAATGGAGAGATTGAAAGGCACTGGGTCAGTTACTTTTTTGGATTTGATTTTTTGCTCATAAAAAAGCTTTCAGCGTTACAAACCCACTGGTTTCACGATTACTCCGAAAGATGCTTGTCCACAAAGTGTTGAGGTAAAGTGAAAGCTTATACTTGATCAGCATTTTTTTCAACTTCAAATAATTAAGGTACTGCTCGTTGTATCATCTGGTATGACTCATCAACAACGAAGGGCGTTGATTAGACAAACCTACGGCAAGAAACAGTGGCAGAAACAGGTGAAAAGAATCAAAAAGTTCTGAATGGATTAGCTTTCAGTTCAACTATCGCGTAATCTTTGTTGTTGGTCGAAGTTTGCAAGAAGATGACGAAGAAATATTGAAAGAAGAAGCGAGAATGAATGGCGATATTTTGCAGGCGAATTTTGTCGATGGATACAGGATGAACACGGTGAAGGTGAGGCGAAGTCGAGCTTAGAGCTGGCTTTCAAAATGATACCCGTCAATTTTTGAAAGGACTACTTTCTGTAATGTATTTTTATATGTTAAATGTTATCTTAATAAGAAATTGCATTTTCCATTCGTTCCCTCCAATCCATTCACTACATTGCTTCCTTTTCAAGACAACTTTATGAGCAACAAATTTATACCAGAATTTATACCATTTAACTGGATACAGAACGGGATAGTTTCTCATGTTTTTTTTACAATTTTGTCTCTACAGATTTCTTTTCAGTTTCTCAACTGGATGCGCTACGTTCACGACGAGTGTCCAAAGATCAAATTGGTCTTGAAATTAGATGGTGAGTGAAATTATAGACAGTCTTATCTGTCAAACGTAAATTTTCTTTGATATTTTTCAGATGATATCTTGGTAAACATTCCCTGGTTTTTCGATGACGTGCAAAGTGGAAAAATCTCTAGAAATAATACGTTGACTTGTCGAAAATTCAATGATGCTGTGACAAGGGATAAGAAGTCCCCCTTGGTAATTTGTTTGGAATTAAAATTTTAGAATCACTAACTTCTCACATTCAGGTACGTCTCAAGAGCCGCTCATCCGTCGAATCAATGGGAAACCTACTGCTCTGGACCGGCTATGATTTTGGTAAGCAATCAAATTTTGATGATCAACAAAGTTGGTAAATACATTCCAGGAAAACTTATAAATTCAATCCAAATAATTTCTTTCAGTCAACCGATCTGTTCTCGAGGTTGATCACACGAATCGAATCAAAAGAACACTACAATTCGGTGAGTTTCACTTGAGCTAGATTTTCTATTTTGACTTAAACTGAAACTTTAAGCTATCTGATCCAAATGTAGTTTAAATTCTTTCAAGCATTACATTTTATTATATTGTCAAAGATCAGTTTTTTAGGTCGACGATGCTTTTATCACCGGACAAATCGCTAAAGAGGTTCACGCTAAACACGATTTTGAGCTCTACAAAGACAGGTGAGTTATTTGGACTAGATATTGTTCAATATTCAAATCCAACCTTGTTTCAGTTGTTTCTGGAATGGTCTCCCAGAATATGATGGAAAAATCGATAAACCGATGCTTAGTGGGGGCGCGATTTTTGGTGGGATTTGAGATCAATGAAAGATTCGTTCAAAAGTTGAATAGTCTTTTAAATATAACACTTGCCTGTGAGATTTAAATATTGAAAAATTCTTTGTTGTTATTGAAAATAGTTTAGGCGAATATCGTTCATCGAGTGGAATGCGAAGAGTTTGGGAGCAATTGTTGATCATGAATGGAGCTATCACCGATCCACCGGATCATCTACCCAAGTCTTTCAAAGAGAGACCAAGTCGGAATGATGTTATTTAATCATGATGTAACTAGATTTTATGACTAATTTTGCATTACTGTAGCTTTTATTGTAGTCATAGTTGCAGTAAACACTCATCAGTAAACCGGTAAGAATACATGTTTATTGGCGATTTTTTTGCTGTAATCGTTTCCAGTGTGATTACGGGCATAATATTCTGTATTCTTGTTAACTAAAAATGAAAACCTTCAAGAACTTGAAAGCTTTCAAAGCCTTTAGCATAAAATTTTCATTTTTCCGGCGTTTACAGCTGATAACAGTTTATAATCCCATGAAGATAAGGCGTAAGTCAATTTTTTTTCTGAAAATTCGTTTTCCACAACTCATTGCAAACTATTTTGCATCTCCAACATGCCCATTCCTTCACATTTCCGATTTCCCACTCTTCCCGAAGAGCTGAAAGATGTGGTTGTCGATTTTTGCAATCCTTGTATGTCAGGTTTCATGACCCATGCCAATCACGAGCTCCAGAATCTCATCTTGAAAAATGGAGGATTCTGCAAGAACATTACCGAAATCGAGCTCATTTTTGAAAATTCAATCGTGCAAAATGAGTGGTGCCCAAAAATGAGAACTTATTTGCCGTATTTACGTGTGAGAGCCCACTTTGAGTGCCCGAATTGTGATGGCACTTTCACTGCATCAATCACCGAGAACTTGTTCACTCCGGAACCATTCCACCGAAACAATTGGATTTCAGTACCAACAAAGAAACCATTTCTCGTCTTCTTCAAAGCAACTTCGTTTTTGCAAAACCGTGCGAATCACGCTAAAAGAAATGCCGCCATGTACACTCAAAACGTATGCTCATTTCTTGAAAAATCTCTTTGGAGAAGACCAAATTTTCTCAAAACTTCGATACATTGCAAACTTGCATCTAGATCTTATCGGTCATCGGTCATTGTTGGAAATCATTTTGAAAAGTTTTTCCCCAAAGCCGTTAAACATTTGCATCTTAAATATGAGACAGTTGTGGCTAAGCAAGGAGACTGAATCGATAGAAGAATCATTGGGGAAATTCATCGAGAAAAATGAAATCAAAAAATGTCGAGTTTTCAGCACATCAAATTATCACTTGCTTCGACCTTTTGTGTTAAAAGATATTAAACCAAAAGTCTTGATTGCTCGTTCGGATCAATGCATGGGTTTCATCGATGGAGTTGTGCGTTTCTGGCACAACGTTGTCCAAAAAAGCCCAAACATCTCATTAATTCTAAACGCTAAACATGAGGCAACAGTTGAAAACTTTCATGAAAGATTCTTTGTAAATGCGACGAATCATTTCTTGAACAATCTCAATATTGATCGAAAAGATATCCTCTCAGCAATCAGCCCGGAAATGGAAACCTTTTTGGAAGTTTTTCACGAAAACAGTTCATGAGACTTATGACGGGGAATTCCTTGGCAAAATTCCTGCAGAAAATTTTCGATTTCCATCAAATAGTCTCGAAGAGTTTCTACGTGATCAGAAAATGAAAATTTTTGTAAGAAAAGAATTCCTCGATGGTCGCCCAACGTTTTTTCTTTTCACCTTGGAAGCAACCGGGGCAAACACTTGCGATCTTCGATGCTGGATTAAAACGTTAGACCATTGTCAGCCATCTTTGTCATTTTGCATTGGTTAAATTTCGACAAACATTTTAGCCTTTTTTGTGTTATTTCAAACATCTGAATCTATACAAAAGCGTTTGCCTGTAAATGGCCTTGCAACCCAATTCTAGCCCCTTTAACACACTATCAGATTTTCAATCGCATCACTTTGTATTGATGACTTGGATAAATCAGAAAAGCATATTGTAAAATGCATTAAAAATAAAGCTAAACATTTCGAAAGGGTTTTCAAAACTCCACACACACCGCCAACATTTTTGCTATACATTGTCAGCCATCTTTGTCAGTCAAAGTGTCCCCCTTTTGTCCCCGTGGGCCGGGGGAACATTATCCCCCTCTTTGTCCCCCTGGAAGTTTTTTCAACTTTTTTTTGTTATAAAGCGTAATTTTTTTTGTAACAATTTTTTGTAACTATCCAAAAATAGTTCCTAGTTTCTGGCGAACGAAATGCAAAACATTTGCAACATTTTAAGTGAAAAGAACTCAACTGAAATCAGCTCAAAGGCAAAGAAAAGATTTCAATCAATATCAACACTTGTAGTTTCAGCATCCATATCGTCTTCCTCTCTTCACTTTGATCGAAGAGTGACGAGTTTGCAAGCGGAAACGATGGAATCAAAGTGGGCATCTTCGAAAAGCTCCTCGGCAAACTCCAGAGTATAACGGCTCGGGGAAAACCTAAAGCACAAAACAGAGTAAAAAATAGATAAGGAAAAGAAACCTACCTTCTAGTGACATCGCCTTGACCAGCATCATGAACAGTGATCATGAACATGAATCCACTAATGAGGGCAGTAGTCGTCCTCTTCATTTGTTGCCAAAGATGACTCCCAAGCGACCCAAAAACAGAAATCTTCCAATACTTAAAACAAAAATTGACCTGAACCAACGTTTAACAGAAACGGACGAGCCGGGAACACAGCACCACTTCGTGCCAAAAACGAAAAGAACAGGAAGCGCGTCCTTGTGCATCAACCAGAAGTGCGGAAGGGAAACGTGCGATGCAAGTCTTGATTTCACCAGTGACTTATAAGTTGCCAACTAAAAGATAGTTTACTCAACAATACAACTAAAACACTTACTTGAGTGGAAATAGCTGGTGTTGGGACCGAATCCAAGAACTTCCATTTGAAAAAGAGACAAAGCTCCTCCGCGTGTAGTAGCGCTTTGTGCACCTAAACTTCTACTTTAGAAAAACACAAAATGAACCAACACAGCTGCTTCCTTTCCAACGTTTGCTTTGGCAACTAAACGTTGAACCGGAGTCAAACATGACAACGTGTTTGGATTGAGATATGAGGCCATTTCAAGAGGTTCATATCGAAAGGTATCTCCCAATACTCGTCAAGATAACGCTCTGCAGACATGTGGAAGGGGGCCAGTTGAGAACACGTGGCAAGACTGCCTAATGCAAAATGAAAATATTTTAAAATGGCAAAAAGCCTCTGAAGCCACTGCTCGCCCCACTTGAACAAGGGAACCACAAGACTGGCGTGACAATCTTCTGCAGAGCTGAATCAAAATTGGTTTTAACCTGGCAAACTATCAACGTACCATTTCCGCCATGTACTTTGTGACGGAAAGGAATCATCTTAGAGCGATGAATCGAAGTAAGGAGTCGTCATCAAGCATGGAGTCATCATCAATTTGTTGATAACCTGATGCTAAACAGCACAACATGATTATTCAAAACGAAAAACTTACTTGATCAAGAAAATTACACAACATCGCGAATCTTCCTTCAAAATGAGGCGAAATATTATCGTAGACACATCCTGATTTTTGACTGTAGCTGATGTGGGGGCAGTGACGGCAAAATCGACGCTCTCCTTGCAAAAATGACATTTTCGCCATGTGCCTAACTACCTAGAAACACGATTTTTGCAGGTAAAGTTTTAACCTCAATCAAAGAGCAAAAATGATCAAAAACTTGCATTTTCCCTTTGCAAATGTTTGTGCGCGGGTCGACTTTGTGTGTCCCAGCGGGACAGTGGCACATCTGGCTTATCGACATTTTTTGCAACTCCAAAAAGAAAAACAGCCAAAAATGTGAAAAGAAATCGAAAAGCTCTGAAAAAATGCAAAAAACGGAGAGCAAAAAACGCCGAAAAGGTTCTAAACCTCTTCGGCTAGCCGATATGGTTTAAAAATTTTTCGGCTAGCCGAGAAAATTCAAACCTTTTCGGCTACGACATATACATCAATAAGAATATTTACGCACTGACTTATAGCAAGAAAATAAGTATTCAGCTTTGACGCTGATTTACGGTAAGTACGGTGGATTACGGTATTTCCTCGACTTCGGCTCTTAATTTTTTCGCATTCACTTTCGCGGTCAAACCCGCCACGAGCGCGCATTTTGGAGCCCTGAAACTCGGCTTAAAGCGCCTTTTCCCAAGCTCTCGTTGTGTTTTTTGGAGTCTACGCATAAAACTGCCCCAGAAAAAGTGGTTTTGAAGAAAAAAATCGTGCCCCCCCCCAACTAGGCTAGTACCGGAACTTCTGCTGCGGGAACGAGCCATCGGAGAACATGGAACAATGCCGATTACGCCCAACTGGCCGCCCGAAGAGCAGTTTTTGGAGGAAGCCGAGAAGAAAGAAGCGAAAGTGAAACGCGACATCATGAAGGCTCGCGACTACAAAGTCGATTTGGAGTCGAAGTTGGCCGTAGTGTTATCAACAAAGCGACACCATCGGCCGAGTCGGGATGATACTACTGCGATGTGTGCGATTCCCTAGTCAAGGACTCGATCAACTTCTTGGATCACATAAACGGCAAGAATCATCAACGCAATATGGGAATGAACATGAAAATGAAGCGAAGCACCCTCGACGATGTGAAGTCGCACTTTGAGTTCAAGAAGCAAGAGATGATAATGAAGAAGAAAGAGACCGAAATCGAAGAAACTTCGGAGGAATTGAAAGAGGAAGAGGCTCGTATGGCCGGCTACAAGAAATCGAAGTCGGGCGAAAGGAAGCGAAAGCATGGGGAGGAAGAAAAGGATGGCGAGTTAGATCCTGAAATGGCAGCAATGATGGGATTTGGTGGATTCGGATCTTCAAAAAAGAAATAATATGTATGCCTTATCTTTCGAATTGAAATTGCTTGTTCTTTGTCTTTTATTGTCTTGTTCTTTTGTCTTCTTTTCTGATTTAAAATCGATCATTTATTTAATTGTCCCAAATAAACTTTTATAGAAGATGTCTCACGACAAGCAAGTGAGCAAAGAATCTGGTGATGATGGAGAGGTTTTCGAGGTTCGGTTTTTTTTTACGTTTTTAAACGTTATAACAATGCATTAGTTATTAGTTAGTATACATTTGCTTTAGGTGGAGGCGTTGCTTGCTACCAGGGTCCAGAGGAAAAAGCGAGTCTACTTGGTAGATTTGATCTGTTTTTCAACTAATAAATAATCATAGGTTCGTTGGAAAGGGTATGGGGAAGAACACAATAGCTGGGAACCTGAAGCAAATCTGATAAAATCAGCGGCAGAAATTGTGCAAGAGTTCAAAGCCCAAGTATAGTTCATTAGTCAACTAAAAGTTTTTTGTTTAGCAGGCCACGAGACGATCTTCTACTACTCCAAAGCCGCTCAAAAAGCGCCTAGTGCACATGGTCGACGGAGATGAAGAAGAAGAAAGCTCATCTTCAAAGAAGAGTCGCATGGGCCGACGCTTTTCGAAGGATGACAGCAAAGATGATGAGGATGAAGATTAGTAGGCTACAGCAATGTTTTTATGGACATGGATTTTTTTAGTTCTGACAGCAAGAAGTCATCTAGCCGTAAGCGCACCGCTACCGTGCCTATAAAGAAAGCTCCACTACCACCACCCTAAAGGTAACACAAAATTCAAAAGTATGTTAATGTTTATTTTTAGCCACTTGGAGCAATTGGTCAATCTTGGCTAATGGAAAACAGCGACGATGATGATGAGAAGAAAGAATCGAAGAATGAGCCCGAAAAGTGTGTAAAATCTTTAAAAATTAAAAGATTTTATTTTTCTTCTTTAAAAGTACAGTGGTTTAGTGGCGCTGGCAAGTACTCAATTCGTAGGAGCACTCGAAGGAAGAGCATTTCAGTTGAGAAGGAAGAGAAAAGACGAGAAGCCGAGCGTAAAGCAGTAAGTATTTTAAATCATTTAAAGCTAGCAATGCGTAAAAGCTGTGATTCAATTCTTTTAGGAAAAAGAACGCAAGAAACTCGAGAAACAGAAACGCGAAGAAGAAAAGCGCAAAAATGCTGAGTGTGAGGAGTCTTTCGTATGTACATTTTAATTGCTTATAAAAATCCTTTGTTTATAAGGCTTCTATATCCGGCCCAAAACGCTCTATCAAAGTGGCCAAAGTGTAAGTTTTTTTAAACTTTTGAGCGATAAATTTCTTTTAATTTAATTTTATTTAGTGATAACAAAGCCGACGAAGGTGAACTCCTTCCTCTGGTTCTGAAAATTCGACGCGCCGTGTACAGAGAAGGCAAATATTTTGTCAATGTGGTAGTGGACAGCGAAGAAAAAGAAATTCCACTTGACGGTAATTTGAAATTTTCTTGAATTAACAACTTCAAACCATACGAGATATTTGCCATTATTTTGGATGACTTGAGCCGGTTTTACTGGCAAAGACCAGATGCCTCTCTCATAGAAAATTTTTGGCTTTGATGCGAACCAATTCGTGAGCCACTTTTTGGCATCATCTTCGGAATCAAAGCGTTTGTTGACCAAATCATTGCTTATCGCCCGGAATAAACAGTAAGCAGAAGGTGCAAGATCAGGGCTATATGCCAGGAGGGCAATCACCTTCCATCCAAGTGAGTTTAGTTTAGAACGAGTCATTTTCGAAACATGCAGTCTGGCATTATCAGTTGAAGAATGATTTTTGTTTTTGGGCTCTTTTCTCTGGCATAGATTTGACTAACTTGTTAAGTTGCTCGGAGTATTTGAGTGTTGTCTTGCTCTCTACAAGTCCCCAGTAGATGGGGTCTTCCAAGTCCCAGAACACCGAGAGCGTAAACTTCTTCTCATGCACATTTGGCATGACGTCGTGCATGGATTTTCCCCCCTCAGCAACCCATTGACGCTTTCACCGAAAGTTGACATTTAGAATCCATTTTCATCCCTTGTCGCAATACGAAGTAAAAGCGATTTGCGCTCGCATCGAGAAAGCTGAGCGGCGCTGCTTGAAACGCATTGACATTTCTGGGTGTCTGTTAAGTCATGTGGAACCCAAGTCCCTAATTTCGCTTTAAACCCAAGTTTATGCAAATGTTCGAGGATTATTATATGATCAACTAATAACTCTTTAGCTATTTCGCGGGAAGAAAGCCTGTTGTTGGTTTGAAAAATTTCAAGCAACTTGGCATTATCCAGCTGGACTGCTGGATGACCCCTCCCTTTATCTTTGAGGATTTATCTCCAGGATGGAATTTAGCAAACCAGCTTGCACATGTTCGTAGTGGAGCTTATCCTTTCAAATAAACATTTTTAATATTAGCTGAACACTAGAGGCCTTTATATCCTTGTAGAAATTCGTACAACATAACGTGTCGCAGATGTCCAGGTGGCAAATTATCAATAGCCTCAGCAAAAGTTGTCAAAATTTCGAAATAACAAAAAGTGAAAACGCCCCGGTTTCATTGTTTTGGGAAAAGTGTCCTTGAGTTTATCAGTTTCACGGAACAGCCCCCACCTCCGTTTTGCTTACGAGTTTAGGGATCAATCGGAAAAATAGCGACATATCATACCCACCGACCCAATACTTCTGTAAAGACCTCTTAGCATGTTTTAATAAGGTGCTACAATCAAATATTTCTTTATCTGTAACACAAGAATCTTTATTTAGAAGTCTGGAAGTTGAATCCCCATGGACTGATGCAACATCTCATTTCCTAGTATCCATTTGAATGATGTCATTGCGCTTGCCGATTTTAGTAGATCTTTCTTGCGTTCGTTTTTGTTTCATTACGCCTGATTCTCATAAAAATAATGGGTTTTTCCTACCCGGTTTGTTGTTGTTTTTTGTAAATGTTGTTGTTTTTTGTCGCAAAGTTATTACATTTTGCACCTACACGTTATTGTTCTTTTTTAATATCAACTTGTTGGTAATAAATTTGAAGTGTAGATCAAGGTACGCATAGAAAGAAATGGGGAAACAAAAGCGAAAAGGCCTATCCGCCAATGAAAAGTCACTTAAAAATGGGCAATAGGTCCAATTTCATCAGCCACATTGGTTCATTTCACTGCGAAGGATGCTTTTTAGGGCTTTATTGGTAATTTTACACAAAACATTGTTTTCAGCGAGCTCACCTGTCACTTTCCACCCTCACACTTTTTCCCTTCTTACTCCAGGCAGAAACATGTAGTTCCTTGTCCCCTTGCTCGGGCGGCCATATGTGGGTTATCTTAGAACTGCCAGTTTCTACATGGACCCAAAAAGTATGATAGAAGCTTTGAAGTGAGCTAATTACTGTACTCACAAGTCAGTCAGCTGGCCAGACAAAGTAAGCTTTTAGGACTCCTTATAAGGAAGCTGAAGTGAAAGGGCGGGACTTATGTTTGTCAGAGGCAGGTTAGCTTTAAACTAGAAAAGTATGAAAGACACCAAAATGGGGATGGCGATGGTTTTGCACCGGGTGAATTTTCTTTTTGGCTGTTACATTTCCATTCATGCTATGTCGACGATTTTGGGGTTTAAGAGTTATTTTTGGTCCTGAATCTAACACGTTTTCAGTTTTTGTCACTGGCACGGGAGCCGCAGAAAATTGAAATTTAAGGGGTAGCGTATGGTTTTGCACCGCACTGTATAAGAAATTTCCCATACCACCATCATGCCACTACCACTACCACCCATACCACAAGACAACTGTTTTTCTAAAGTGCGTTTTTAAAGTTTTTCTTTTCTAATATATTTTTAGTAAACAATTTTCTTCTAGGAAACTTACCCAGTTCTTTTTCAAAAACTTTGTTTACACTAATCGTTCTTTATAAAGCAAAAAAAATAGGAAAAAGATTTCCTAGAAGAAAATTGTTTTCTTGTTGTAAGGGGGTCCTGATATGGTAAAAATATCAAAAATTATTTTTACACCATATCTACCACTTGGAGCCACTTAAAATTTTAGAAATTTGACACAAAGTGACTTTTTTTTCGGACACCCTGTATACAGTTAGACTCTGTACATAATTGAAGTACTGTACATATCACTTGTACAGCGCCAAAATTTTAAATTTAGGCTTGCGATTAACATTTATTAATATGCATAGGTTTTCCCGGTGTATATGTTACGTCCGAATCTGAGGAGACGTCCATCTCCGACGTCCGGATCGGAGATGGACGTCTCCCCAGATTCGGACGTAACATATACATACGCGTGGTTTTCTTTTCTTTTTCATTTTCTCATTTTCTTTATTTCTTCTTGATGGAAGAAAAAGCGGGTTTTATTAGTGTTTAAACTTCTTTAAAAGCTAGATAGGTTTTAATGATTTGTTTTTAGAGTGCAAAAGTTCGTCAACGTTTCAAGCGGTATGATTGGCGATTGGCGATGAGAACGAGGAGAAAGACGAGACAAAAGAAAAGGATGGGAATTTTATGAGCGCCCTTGAAGGTAAGCTGGATTTTTGATTTACAAAGATGCTGGACATGTTGTGGATTGTTGATTTTAAGGCTGAACGGTGTAAAACATGTTTCTCAAGTTTTAAGGATGTTTTAGAGCTTGTTTACCCAGTTTTGTTGAGGAAATAGTTAACTATTTGCGCATTTTAAAAAGCATAAGTCGCTGAACTTTATTTTGTTCTTAACCGGATTTGTCAAAACGTTATAATAATTTGTTTTTTCAGATTTCCCCGATCCGCCCGCTCCACCCACACTATCGCCAATTGTGGAAATTATCGCTCACGAAGCGCCTCCGATCTTTCTCCTCACTATCAGTGGGTTTATTTCAAATATATTGGATTGAGCAAAAAGTTAACGAGAAAGAAATTATTGCCGAGTGAATTGTTGGCACAAACTTTTAAAACTACTTAAGCAATAACCATTATTATTTCAGGTAAGTATAACTATTTCAATCTTGCATTTCTTTAACAACTTAATTTTTAGTTACAATCTTCGCTTTGGTGGGTCTCTACTTGTTTGGCGGTTATGCGAAGGCTTTTCCATGAATTGTGCCTTGCTCGATTCATTTCACTTTCTTCATGTTTGTCATCTTTCAACTTTGGGCGAACGTGGTCGCGATTCAGAGTGAATCCTAGTGTAAGTGTTTGAAAAGTTTTCAAGAATGATGGTGTTTTAGAATGCAGTGAGTTTTGTTTTGTTGTAGTTTTGTTCAAAATTTACAAAAATATTTATGCGACTAACATTAATCATTTCTTTTAGTAAAAACTGCCCAACCTATCAGCTGAATCGTCGTCTTTTTTCGGGTAAATTTTTCCTTTCCGGTTTACACCCAAATCTATTTAGGAAAGCAAAGTGCGCAGAGTTTTGGTCGAAAGAAGCGTCTTTTTGATGGTCGAATCACTATTAGCGAGTGGAAATTTTGAAATGGAAAATGGAAATTTTGCAAGAAATGCAAGAGGTGATGGTATTTTTGAGGAAAACTGTAGCATCTTGTTGAAAAGAATAGCTTTAAGCTGCTTTAAACGTGTGCGACTTTGACAATTCAATTTTAGAGTCCACCCTCTTCGCTCCATTCGTTGTGATCTCTGTGGTCGTTGCTCTCTTCGAAATGAACGGCACTGTTATGTTCTGGGCACATGCATTGGAGTGGCCAATTTTGTGAGCAGCTGAAGCTTTTTTTTAATATAGTGCTTTATTTAGCGCTACTATGCCGCTTTCATGATCTACTTGGCAGTGTTGTGTGCGTACAGTCTCACATGGATCATTTCGTATCATTGGAGATTGAAGATTGAATACATTTTTCCGTAAGTTTATTGTATTCGAAAGTTGAGTGCATGCTTGATTTAAGAAATGTTGACTTTAAAATTCAATCTTCCTTTAGTTCATCGATTGGTCGTTTAACACGGGTGTTGAGTCAAATTGGTCATATGCGCATGGTTGTCGGGGAGATCTTTCATCAAATGTACTTTCAATACGAGCGTGTCGTCGCCTACAAAAAACCGATCTACTTCACTTTTTCGGTTGGGTTTAGAACGATGTTCCACAACATAATCAACAAATGTTGCTGTGTAGATTGTTTATTTTTAAAATGTTATAACCATTCGCCTTATTTAGTGTTTCATATTTGCTGCAATGGGTCTATTCGTCGCATTGTGTCTTATCATTGAAATGGTAAGTGTCTTTTTGGATCTTATCTATTTTTTTCGAGGTCTATGATATCTACCATGGAATTGCGGTTCGAGAGCGACCATATTTATCGTTGAAAATCAAAGGAGACGATGATAGGACAAGTTTTGGTGAGTTGATTTTGTGGTTTCTCTAGAAATGGTAATTAAAAGGAGCCTCTTGGTGGCACCTTGTAACAATTTATTGTAAGTTAATTCAAGTCAGCCCTTTAAAAACATTTTTTCAGGTGAAAGATTGCGTTTTCTATTCGGAAAATCGTTTCCATTGGGTTTACGGTGGCCAAGGCGGTGGGAGGATGTCGACTGGAGTGAGTCGTTCATTGTAGGTGAATTTGAGAGTAACTAAAGCTTAAAATCAGGCTATTGCTTTTTATACTAACGTGTTTTTTGTTTAGGAAACTCTTCTTTTGAAGGCATTACTCGACGATGACGAGAAGACGAAAAAAAAAAATGATGCGATAAATGAAACAATTTTAGATACAGGAAACATAAACTTTGTCAATAAATCGTCAAATATTCAATTTGAAACAGATGCCCTGAAATAAACAAAAGCAGTTATTTGGTTTACTCTACTTTGAAAGCTTACTCCATTTGACACGACAGACCAAAGGTGAGGCCTGATTGCCAACTCTCGGGCGGGTAAAGCTACTGGACCTCTATCAATGTTCTATCGATTTGCATAAAGCCTTTCTGTCCAACACGTAGCATTTTTTTATCCGTGCATAAATTAGTGCTTGCTAAATAGATCTTCACTGTTTTTATTGCTTTCTTTGGTTTAGCACTTGACTTTTCAAATTTTATTGTAACAAGAACAATATTTATAAATAAACATAAACAAAGTTAGGCTTTCTGTGCAACTTCCTTGGCTTTGGCGCGCTCCAATTTGGCAACCTTGGCCTGCGAACGATCGGACATCTAAAATTAAACGTGTTAAAAATTTTGCTAGAAGTTAAAAACCGTGTGGCCTCCCCAATGACGGCGGATCTCTTCTGCTCGGTCGTTGAAGTTGGTTGTGACAGTTTCGACGATCTTGGAAAGAGTGCCTTTGTCTTCTCTAAAACCGCTCAATGGATTTTACACTATAGGAAACACTGACGGCTTCACATCAACGACTGCGATAGAGGAGGTGGTCTTTCTGCGCACAATACGCCCAAGATTGGCCTTTCCTTTAACAATGGCATAAGGTACCTAAAGAAACTTTACATTTGACCATATTGCTAATCAAACCTTGTATTTTCTGCATAGGGCGGGAAGGAAGAGTGCAACTTCAATTGGCTCCACGTCGTGAGCTATTAGCACAAGTTGGGCCTATAACAAGTCTAAGAAACAAAAAAATTGATACGAACCCGACGTTGCTCAACAAGCTTGGTGACTTGATTAACGCCATGGCGAATGAATGCTTGCCGTGGAGTAATCTAAACACTTCTTACGAAAGCAAGCAACCAAACTATTCGCTTACATCCTCCTTCTTGCCAGTTGCACGTGCTTCTGCGCGTTTACCAAGACGCTCTTTCTTCTGCTCCTTTGACTCGGGGCGGTACTTGCCAAGCAACTTCACCGTTTGCGAAGCTAAACAAAAGCGTTACAAGAGTTATTCCACCATCAAATTACCTGTTTGTTTGTCCAGTGCAGTTCTGAATTGGTTGATGCTTGGTGGAATCTTCAGACGCTTTTGAAGCACAGCCCCTAAAAATTAAAATACGCGTGTGCTGTAAACAAATAGTCGCCTTGAAATTTTTTTACTTGGCTCGGACTCGCTTAGATCTTACGTCCATTCTTTCATGCTTTGGTATAAAAACTGGCCAGGTCCTAATTACTCAACGTTTAAACGATAATCAACAAACTTATTTAAGTTTTACATATCAAAATCATTACTTTGTCGTTGAAGACGAATGTACTTTGGCCATTTGACAAAACGAGTGAGGTCACGTTTGGGAAGGATGTCTTGACCTATGCGGAAGTTCTTTGGACGCGCCTCAAACAAGGGATTCTTCACCGGTCCTTTGGCTTCAGTTTTTGCTAAATAAAAAGTTAACACTTGACGAAACATAAACTCATACCTCTCAATGCAGCCGGAGTCGGCGCAACCTTCTTCTTGATGACTTTCTTTGATGGCTAAAAAAAAAAGTCACTGATGGTACGTGATTCCGCCCAGTGACTTAAAAATAGAGTCACCTCCAACTTGAAGTTTGCTTCTCAAGCAAACTTTCTATACTAATCCAGCGGGTAATTAAATAACTGTCCATTTAATAAGGACCCCATTTTTAAACTCGAAAACCTCACCATAGCAATTAACAAAGTTGAAATTGAACCCACAAACGAGCGAACGAAAACTTCGTTTAGCTGAAAATTTCCAATTATGCAAAGCGAAAATCAGTTGAAATCTAAAAACAAGAAAGGAAGTATTTGCACACGCATATTAAAGTCTGAAGGAACGTCGGCGCCCTGGCTCGCTACGATACGTAAACGATAGAATGTTTGGTACTTTGGTGGTTGGGAGGGGCCACTTTTATCCTGGCTTAGTTGGATCTGTTTTGAGTGGTTATATTGATACCTTTTATCTACCTATTCTAGGATAATCAAATATGCTTATACTTTTAGAGCATTTACAATATGTTTCAAGTTTCATATTGCCGCTTTTATTTGATTTTCAAGTGTAAGCAGCTTTGAGGTAGTGTTTCGTGGTTAAAATACATGGTATTAGGCTAGAATTGCCAAAAAGTGCCTAAAATAGTCACCAATCTATTAGGCAGATTTGATTATCTTAGAATAGATAAAAGGTATCAATACAAAACATTAGATCCAACTAATCCAGATAAAAGTGTCCCCTCCCAATCACCAAAGTATCGAATGTTTAATTCGACGTTTTGGGTTTCTAATTTTAAACGCGCAAAACTTATAAGTGACGCTTGAATTTTTAAAATGGCTAGGAACGTTAAAATGCTCTAATGCACGAAACAGAACGAAAAAAAAGTGAAAAAAAATGAGCGAAAAAACCTTCAGTCTCTTTTTGCGCCAAGCTGTGGGTGATACGGTAGTTGGTGCACTTTAGAAAACACAAAGTTGCTTGGTTCGTCTTTTTTAACACATTCATGCAATTAATTTGTTTTGACATGTAACTTGTGAATATTCAGCTTTATTTTAAACATTTCATATCAAGGAAATATTTCAAATGCACACAGTTAACTTTTTGACAGTTTGCAAGCATGGGACTTTCGAGGAGTTTCTTAAAATATTCTTCTTCTTCAGGACTTTTTAGAGTGTCATTGTCGTGTAAATCGAGCTTCAGATCGGCCAAATCACAAATTTGAGGTTGATACAGATCAAGGAAGAATAGAGACTCGTGAAAAAATGACGCCTCAAATTGAAAAGTCGAGACAAATTTTGGCAACAGATCTGTCAGAAAATTATCCTTTGAAATATAAAGTAGGCTATTTTGAAAGGAATGGATATCAATACAGAGCCATCGACAAGAATGATTTCTTTGAAAAAGCGTTGCAAAGATCTTTTTGCTGGAAGTGATTCGTCGACGCCCTTTCTCACAGAAAGATGCCCTTTCATTAATGAAAAAAGTTTTTTTACAACTTTCTTGAATCAAAGTTAATTTGTAGCATGAAACCAGTTTGAAGTCGGGTTTTGTTTGAAATGGCTGGATGATTAGCTCGATTTTCTCAATTTTTCCGGAATACGGTCCATTGAGTAGAGAGAAATTTCGCAGCTCTCGATTAATGGATAAAAGCTTTAACAGATCAGCAGCGATTGAGCATTTTAGTACAGAATTCTTCAGTTCTGTAGGTAAAATTGAAAAGGAAAACATAATTTTGTCAATAGAACAGTACAAGAATAGGATGAAAGGGCTTTCCAAAAAGAGCTGGCTAAAATCAATAAGTGGGGGTTGGTTTTGCGGTGAAAGGCTCTTTTTCCACATTGCTTAGAACAAATGAGTCATCGGATTTTTTTAAGTTCTCAAATGGCTTTTGAGAGTGAAACAGAATTTGAAACTTATTGATCAAAAACGAAAAACAAATTATTTTTTAGAGTTGTTACAGTACCAAATTATCAAATTAAAATAGAGAGGATGGGCAAATTTCAAAGAATCAAAGGTAAACCTACTACGAGGATTCCAATCCAAACGGATTACAGATTTGGGATCCTCATAATCGATTTACCTTTGTGCTAAAGTTTCGCGTCGAAATGTCACGGTCGGTTCTGAACGTTCCCTTGTAAGTGCGGATTTTCCAAAGGCTCTTTATTTAATGTTTTTGCCTTTCACTTTCAAAATACAATCAACACAGAATCTCTGAATCGAATCCCCGGGATTCAAAAGAACAATCATAAGACAAAGCAAATCGTTATCCTTATTTAGATTTTTCTTGAAAACAACTTTTTTTGTCGTTGATTCCCTGGGTCGATTGTTGTCATCAAAGGTAAACTTCAAAGGAGCAATGCAATCCAATTTCAATAAGTATTGTTCAAACTCGAGCATAAAATTGCTTTCACTGGTATTCATTTCAATTTTTACCATTCCCGGACACTGTTTGATAGACTCTTCCAATAATTGCGTAACTTTTTCAATATCTTTTGAGGTATTTTCTCCAAATGTGTCTTTATCAAACATGGCTGTGATCCAAGCATTCTTCGATGGGCTTGTAATCTTTTGATCGACAAAATTCTGAACAGTGAACACAAAATCTTCCAAATTTCGGTAATCCGGCAGAACAACTGTATTGATTTTTGCAGCTTTATAGAAATCCATTGAAAAATCCCGTAAATTTCTCCAGGCAATCAGTTTACAATCACTGAACGTGGGACTTTTAAGCCAGCTTTGTAAAGTCTCCTCAACTTCACCCGTTTTTGTCCCTCTTCTCCACTCCAACTCCACATCAGCAACATCAAAGACTTTTGAATGGAAAACCTCCAAAAATTGCTTACAATCTTCAAATTCGGCCTCAAACCAAAATGTGGAAATATTTGTAAGTCTAGGCAAAAATTTCGATTCCTCCAACAATTCATCAAAAACATTTTCGACTTTAATTTCGTTTGCAATTTTTTGCAAGCCAGACATGTAGACTCGAACAAAGCGGCAATCGCAAATCTTATTGACCAATTTCCAGAGAATATTTTTGTTTGTAGAGATTTTTAGCGGTCTGATTTCGTGGGAGTGTTCACCCTCGAGTTTAACATCATTTGTAATTGAGAATTTTGTTTTGAAGCCAACTTTTGAGGTTAACAGTAAATGCATCAACGGTGTGAATGTAGTGAAGCTCGATTTCGAATAGGAAATTGATAGATCGAAGTTCTTTATGTTTACCGGTAAGTGGGCCATTCAGTAGGGAAAAGTTGCGGAGTTCGTGATTAACTGATAGAAATCTCAAGCAATCTTCAACCTCAGGAGATCTCAGTACAGAATTCTTCAATTCAGACGGGAGCGTACAAAATGGGAACATTGAAGTTTTAGAAAAGAAATGGGTTTGGTAAATAATGGCGGTAAAATCAATAAGCCAGGTTGTTTGGGGTTTTCGACAAGTGCTCTCTTTGCTTTATCTTTGCGGTGACTCATTCGCGTATGACGTGTAAATAAACGAATTCACGGGTTAGAGCTTTTGGACAGGAATTTTGGACGTGCTAGACTTAAATAGATATGTTAGGTTAAGATTGATTTCAATGAACTTTTTGAAATAAAGTTCTGAACTGGACCCAGAGTTATTCCAAACTAAGTTTTAAGGCTAGATCAGAACAAAATCAGAAAAGCCATACCAAAGCAAACCAAAAAGTCAGATTTTGAAAAATGTGTAAGTATTGTTTTTGATTTTAACTTTTAAAAAGAGTTTTAAAACTTCGATTGGCCTGAAAAATACTTCCTGACTTCGACTTGAGCAATGTTTCTGCAGACGTTGTCACAAGTTGCAATTTCAAAATTTTCACAAAACAACGTTCTGTAGTCATCTAAATTAACCATATTATTAAAACAATATCAATATCTAATTTCACTTTTCCCAAACACGGACTCTAAATGAAGAAGATGATGTATTTCCTGGAAAGCTCTGCAAAAAAAGAGTGGAACAAGAGATTAGAACAATAGACCGAATTTTTTCACTCCCACATTTATTAATTTTCATCTCCAATAGAATGAGTTCAAATAAATACGTGACTCGCTTCAGAAATTGAGCCTGAGAATTCACTTTTTTCGACGTTTTCAAGTTCAACCACAAAATCCCCTCTTTCAAAAAGATCTCTGTCACAAAACAATGTTCCAAACATTATGTCAGCTGTTTTTCCCTTAAGAATGAAAATATTGACATCGAATCATTCTCAGTGCAATGACAACTTGAAATCAAAGAGTTTGGTTTGGTGAGCTGAAAAAAAATTTGAGAAACACTGAGAAATTTCCCTTTTTCTCTTTGCAAAACTCTTGAAATGACAAAAATTTTTGAAACGTTTCCAAATTTTTTTTCTTTTTTAGTTGACCCCATCTGTTCACGTGAATTCACTTAGCAAAGTTTTTGGGGAGAATTTTTTTCAAACCCACCCTCATTTAAGGGAATTTATGGGCAATGTGGTCAAACTCACAGCAAGCTCAATCAAATGAGGGTTGTGTGCGGTTTCGGCTTCAATTCTTTGAAACACTTTGTTTTTGTTTTCTATGATGAAATTGTTTTTTTGCTCAAAATCAAGTGACAATGAGTTTTCCGAATTGCTCGACTTTGTGATCTCTTTGAATCAGTCTTTTATTGAAAATGTCTTGGGTTGCGAAGTCAAAAATTGTCAAGCAAAATTTTCTTTGTTTTTACAACCTTTGAACTCCCTTTTAAGCTCTCACAAACTAAGCCAATTATTTAAGCAAAGCAACCTTGTCAAATTGTTAAGTAGAACTGACTGATTTACTGAACTTACTGATCTTACTGATTTACTCCATAGCTAAAAGCTATGGGGTAAATTAAAGGCAACAACACTTCCAATTGTTCCAAACTTTACGATTTGATTTTTCACTTTAATATTTAAAATGAGAAAGATGTTCTGTTAAGAATCTTTATCATATACAACCATTAAATATCTCAAATCCAAGTACATTCAATCATTAGTTGTGCAAACCCCAAAACGAATGTTTAACCAAGTTGATCACCTTTAAAAACGGTCAGTCCTTTTTTATCCATTTAACCAAACGGATCCTTCCCGTTTCCCGCAAAAGATTCTTTGACCTTCAAATGCCAAATAAACTTCCCTTTGGTGCTTTCCATTTATGGATTCAAGTTCAACTTTGCCCCCGGTTTTCTCAGGAATTGAGA